GCAGTTACCAGAGCTCCCTGCTGTGGTGAGGATGTGACTTGAGCGCAGCTCTGACTAACAAAGACAACTTTGCTTGTCCATGCTATACCACACTTCTTGACAGACCTAGCCTCTAAGACTGAAAACATTCCCCAGCCAGCTCAGAATACTTCATACATTTGTAGTTCTCCTCAAACCAGATACTTCCAAACATCCCAACTCACACACCAGCCCTGCAGCACTCCCTCCCTGAAATCCCATCACCTTGCTCAGCTGGCAGGTTTAAGGAGAAGACTGTATGTAAAAGGCCTACCTACTCTATGGAATAGCTGATGTTTAGTATTTTTTTCAAGTAAATAAGTCTTTTTCAAATAAATAATTTTTGTTTCAAATAAAACAAACTGCATGTCAGTAGCTAACACATTTTGCAACATTTATAAGAGTATGAAAAAATCACAGCAGATTTCTTACAGTCTGTACTACAGCTTTGGTTTTATTTTGAAGTATCAGACTCTGTGTCACTGGAAGCAGACATTCCCTCTGTGGTATTTGTACGCTGTGATACAACAGACACTTAACTTGCCAGAGCCTCTCAACTTGCCAGGGTCTCTCAGCAGAACCCCATTAAGACAAGAAGTAAGTTTATATTTTTTAAGAAAGCTAAAGCAACACTTGATACATGATGCCTTTAATTAATCAGCTACATATCTGCTTAAAAGGACTTTGACTCCAAACTGCTAGTTGGCTGGATTTGTTTTTATTTTGGCTGCATACAGTGACCCACTCTGCTCCTCCGCTCCTGCCAGACCACGACATGCCTTGTCAGCAGGACCTGTCACCTCTGGGCTTTCCAGGGCCCTTGGTGGTTAACGCCCAGGGCTGATGCCCTACATCACCTCTCTGCTGGGTGGTCAGTGTCCTCTGACCGACTATGTAACACCCTGCTCTGCTCCCCATCAACATCTTCCAGCCTGAAACCTTGACTGACTTGACTGATCTTTATTCATTTGAGGAAGATTATGATAACAAGTCAAATGTCACTCTTTGAGGCAGGCAGGAAATACTGCTTGTACTGAAAGATTTCCATGAGGGTGTCCATCTCCTTCGTGAAGTGACAGAGATCTTCTGAACTGTGACCTGCTCTGAAAAGCTGATCTCCAGACAGCTGCCCTCTCCTCCAGCTTTTGCTCCTGCCTCTTATTTACATGATATATGCATTGAACATAGGTTTTTAAATGTGTTTCTTAAATCTCTGCAAAATCTCAAAACTTTCTTATATGTAAATTTGCCTTGTTGTCTATCAAATCACTATCACAACCCTCAGAAATTTGTTCTTTGCAGATAATGTGATATGGCTGTTCTTTTTCTTTTACAGGTAAGCTTGCTGAGAGACAGGCAGGCATACCATGCACCTTCTCCTAAATTCAGCAGTAGATGCAGGAGCAGGTGAATCCCAAAGTCCTTCTAGGTCCCTCTTCCATGGTCTGAACTGTACAAAACATAGCATTTGGCAACACAGTCCTTGGAGTTTAGAATACACAACTTTTGTAGGAAAGTATCCCAACACAGTACTGGCTTATTAAAAAAGTGCAAACCAATACTGGGTGTATACTGAAGAAGAATCAAATGTAAGAGAGAAAACTGGGAAACAGTTTTTAATAAAAAAAGATTTCAAACTTATTCCTGCAAGTAGGACCACATATAAAAATCAGATCAGAGTCTCACTGACTTTTACAGCTCCCATCCTGCACCAACAGGCACTTAAAACCAAAGCAGTAACACATTTATCTCTTATTGTAACTTCCTTTCTGTGACTAATATATTCTTGCATTTAACCAAGCTATTTCCATTAAGTTTTTCAGTGTTTCAGAATAATCACCTAAGTCTTTGTCTTCCAACAAAATCTATGAGAACTTCTTGAGCTGCAAGAAACTCATTACTACACATTTTAGGAAAAAACAGCTCAGAAGTTGCCCTTGGACAAGGACATAAAATACTGGCATACAAAACCTGATTTGCTTAACTACTGCCCAATGCAAATGATCAGTTTTTAGAAATACGTAGTTTAAAAGTAAAGAAGTGCACATAGAAGCAAACATTAGCTCAAATCTTGCATAACTGATACTGCAATACCCTCTTGTGGTCAAATAAAAATGTTTTGTCAAAACACCTGAACTTTTTCCTCCACAAAAAGCCCCTCTAGACATCTTTTCCTTTGACTCAAAGGAAATAACTCACATATTTTTCACAGATGAATTTGTAGTGCATATCGTCATTTGTCTGACAAAAACAAAAGACTAACCTCAGTCAAGTTCTTCCTCAGAATGATGGGCACTGATACTGTTTGTCAAATTAATTAATACAGAACAAACTTCTAAGCAAAGGCGCCATCTTCAACAGTGACACTCATAACTCTTTTCAAGTTTCATGTCCCCAACCAGAAAGAAATCAAGATGCTGTAATCAATTTACATGGGTACATAATGGCATGAGACCACAATAAACATCATCCTACTGTACTACAGGATGAAAAGAAGTTCACGGTAAACCAGCTGTACCAATTCAAAAGAACAAATAAAATGCTAAACTGGCAGATGGTAAAAAGAGGGGGAACAGTTCAGTATCTGCTAAGTGTTAATCTAGTAAATGGTCCAAATGGGATACTACTATGTACAGTAAGGAATCTAGAGTAACACCCAGAAATGCCATCCTTGCACTCACCTTGATGTACTTTGATGGTGCACAACTACTGCCTTAATGACTTCTAGTCCCAATAGAAAATGGGATCATTTTCAAAATATCAGCTATTAGTGATCTGGTTTTGTAACAGCAGCTACATTTAAAGTCATATTATTACAATATTTTTGAAAGTTCAGTTTATTTAAACAGCCACAATCCCACCTCATCTATTATTTCCAGAGATATGGCTTGATGTGTTCGACATCTGCATATAGAATCATTACAGCTCACTTTTGTTTAAAGCCTAAAGGAGTCCTAAAGAGTTGGGAGTTCCTTCTTTTCTGAGGCTGTGGGGTCTTGTGTCAATCACCTGGTTTTAACCTATGGGTTCACTTTCAATAAGATATTCTGAGAAGAAATTTGCAGTCCCACATCTGCATCAAAACCAGGGTAGTTACAACTCCTGCAGCTTTGACAGACACCACTCAGTGGCACAGACCTTAAACACCTGCTTGCAGTCTTTCCATCCAGTTCATTCAGTGGCTACATTTGGAAGCTGTACGCAGCTCAATAACCATTTTTAGCTTACTGCTGATTAATTTGCAGAAATTGACTCGAAGGAAGGATCAGAATTAAAATAACACAGGAACTTTGTACAGAATAATTAAAGAGCATTCCATGCACAGGAACAGACTTTCCATCGGGATCTTTTCCTGACCCGATCAGGAGAGAAAATTCCATGCACACTGATTAACACATCAGGTCTTCCAAATGTACCTCAGCTTCCTTTTAAAGCAATCACATGCTGCTAAAACACTATTCTCCAACCAGCTGCACACACTCCAACTTGGAGAGGACCCCGGAACAAATGCAGCAGGATAAGCAGATTCCACAAGAGGAACAGAGACAACTATTAGGCCAGGCTGGCAAACACAATTCCTTCAGTTCATAATAATGATACATGGGTACATGACTTTTCGCTTTTTGGCTGAAAGAGATGAAAATCACTATTGAGGTTTCAATTATCTCAGACAAAAACAGCAAACAAACAGAAACTCCACTAAAATTTAATTCAAACCCAAAGTAAACACTGGGGTTTGTGGTGGGGTTTACCTCTTCTTATGTTATGTTATCATAATCTTCAAATTGCAAATAATTTTTCCAAATATAGAAGTATTTCTTGCTCAAGCATGCCTACATGAAATTCTTGGATAGTTGCATAGATGTAACTATTTTTAAAGAAATTATTTGCCAAATCCAGTATGTTTCCCAATACTGCAAGCAAGTTTGCCAAAAAAAACCTAAAGAAGTAGATTCAAAGTTCATTAGCATTTACCAGGAAGATGAAGCAAGAGACTAGAATTCATCTGGAGCTAAGCCACACTACTCAAAAACAAGTCAGCCAAGAATTTCAGAGGAAATTTATACTTAAAATACTATTTTCCTGCAAGGTCACAAATACTTGAGGAAGTGAGTTCATGCCACAAAAGCCCAACAGGTTGACTGTAAAGACAAACACTAACATTTTGGATACTGTTTTGAAAATTCTCACTTTGTAGACTAATGACCCTTTAAAATTACTTAAAAATTGCTTCTCATAATTGCTTAATACTTTCAGCTGAAATATACAAGTGCTTTAAAAGGGATGATCTCTGACTGCTCTTTTTTTTTAATTTGAAAATAAGGAGCTTTCAGCGCAGACTCCTTGAAACACTTTATTTTAAACAAATAGTTCTGCCCCAAATAGAGTTCAAGGCCCCAGCAGCTGTCCCACTGGGTTTCTGCTCCTTTTCTGATGTATATTCACAAGTCAGACTTGTTTCCAATAGAGACAGTAAACATGCCAGGGAAATCAGCAGCTTTCAGAAGCTTTTGCCTCTGCTACATAACCACAACAAAAGTCTTCCTGACATACTCAGCAGCAATCTCCTCTGCACTCTTTGCTACTAAAGCAGATTTTATTGTTCTGAGGATTTTGAATAGAGGCTGATCTTAGCTTCAGTAGTAGTAATTACCTTGTAAGCTGAGAGTTTGCTGGTTACAGCTGAAGATCCCACAGCTTCCAATAACAGTCGTTTCTTATAAAATTGCTGTTACCGTGAAAACCCCCTCAGTGTTCAAGCAATGATGCAACATAAAGCAGTAGGAAAGAAGCATTAAATAAGAGGGAAGTAAACCAGCCCCAAGCACTGCCTGTCAGTGCTGCTGTGCACATTCATTTTCTGAAAGCACTCCAAAGCAGCAGCTGAAAGAAAACGTTAGGAGAGAAGGAGCTTTGAAAGTGCAAATAAGAGCAGGTTTAACTTTCTGAACAGTCACAATATACTAAACAGTGCTGGGTATATGGCAAGTCTCAAAATGAACAAGTTGGGAAAGGGTTCTGGATTCAGGAGAAATACCTTAGGTCTTGGCAACCAGCAACCACAACCCTGGGGCAACCAGCCCCAGCTCCATCTGTGTCTCAGCAGCACCCAACCAAACAGATCTGCCACCACACAACCGGCTACTCAGGCCTGGGCAGATGAGCAGGCAGCACTGCAGCCAGACCAGGTCCAACAGGATAAGATCTGGAGAGAATATGTTGAGGCTGAACAGAGAGGAAGGCAAATCTGGCAAATCAGTTGTTCCAGTTCATGCCTCTTCTACTCAACAATGGTACAGATGCTCCGTGATAGCATTAGGGCTTGATCCAAAGCCAACACTATCAAATGAAATTTTCTTCTGCAGGGACTTTGGATCAGATCCTAATACCTTCCTATGAGTTCAACTAGAAAGGATGTACACCTTCAGCACTAGCTCAGTGCAGCACAGGTAACCAGCTCAGAGACAGCACAGGTGTCCCTTGAGCCCTGCTGCAAGTACAGCTGTACAGAACTGTTTCCACTCTTGACCTCAAAGTACTCTTACAATAGCGGGTGAATGGCCACTTTCTCCATTTCAGGACGGGGAAAACAAAGGACAGAAAATCAAAGGACTTGCCCTGTAGTCCCACACCAGGTATAGAACAGAGCTGAAGAGTAAAACTCAGGACTTTAACTCCATTTGCTCCTAGCACAGCTGCCTATCTGCACAAAATACTCCCATGGGTGTTTGCCCGCAGCAATACGGCTCTGGGAATTCCTACCAGGGGACTTCTGGCAGTAAAGTATCGGTCATTTAAAAAATAAGAAGCTGTGTCTTGCTCGAGGCATTGGACAAATGTTTTCCAGAGTGACTGAGGATGTGGGTAATTTGCATTTGCACAAGGAATACATTGTGGACATGGTATCCTCATTTGCCCTTAGCAAAAAAACCACCCACTCCTCATGTAGTGTGAGAATAAAGAAAATCTTGGGCTTCATCACAGAATAGACAGGTTTTAGTACAAAGAGTTTGCAGGCCTAAGAGCTAGGCTATAAGTATCACACTGAGCAGTTAAACAGGCATTCCATTATGACCAATATTAACTATTTTATTTAAAGACAGAAAATTTGACTGCATTTTTCACTTCTATTCCAAGCTATCAGAACTGGAGTTTCCTTAAGTACTATGACCAAATGGTGAGTTTGGAAACAGACATTCAGCTGTATCCATGCTCTTTTTAGTTTTCATCAGTTTGGGCCTAGGCTAATATTGCAAACTGAAGCTTACTTAGGCATACTTGGGAAATGCTTTATGACTAAACTCTTTAGGAAAAATAAAAGATAACTGAAGTGCCTTTCATCTCCTACCTATGTGCAATCTGTTTCAATGTTAACAACTCGGCAGAAAGACAAGTGCTAGAAAAACCAACTTCGTAGGAGAAAATTTGTAATATAATGTCATCACTAAAAATGAAAGAAAAAACCTCCCACATCACAACCATTCTAGAGCAGGCTAACTTTGTCCCAGATGACATTTTATGCAACATATTTTAAAATTACTCATTTCCCTCTGTTATCCTATCGTAAGACAGCAAAAATAAACAAACAATTGTTTTACTTTATTTCTACAAGTTCCATATACACTCAGTATCATGTCTTTAAGTAAATTTAAATTGCAATTTTAAAAGCAAAAGCAGATGGTATTATAAGTAAAAGTGCTCATATTACAAATAATTTCAGTAACTTGTATTTTTGTAAGAAGCAATGGATGTAATTTTGAAAACTTATTAGTGGCCTTTGTTTTATCCAGGGTAAGAGAAAGGAGCTGAAGCCACTGCCAAATTATATGCCTGTGTTCTCAAGCAAAGTTCTCAGCCTGACCAATCAAACAATCATCAGTCAAATGAACACTGAGCTTGGCAGGGCTCTGGTATATGGATTATTTCTACAGCGATGGAGCACAAAAGGAGAAACTTGAGGGTGAGCTCCAACTTTCCTAGTGTTTCAGTAACAATAAAACAGTAACAAACCAAGTTAAATGGTTCTAGCCAAGTTGAATGGTTCTAGCCACAGCACGAAAAAAATCCTCCATCTTCTCTACAGAGACCAATACTACTGTCTAGCATGGATTTGCTTTCAAGGGCAAAAATGGATGTTGACCAGTAATGCTGTAGGAGATGATCCTCTTTGTATGTGGGGTGATTGGGCCATATACAGACACCACTACAAATCTCACCCATCTTCCCATGCAAATCTATAGTAAGGATGACACTATTATCAGAAAGAACAAGATTACAGACAAGAGGCAATTTCTCCCTGAATTTTTATCTCAATTAATGGAGACCTGCTCAAATGAGTCCCAACATAAACAATATATTTTTGGTTCTGAAAGCCAGCACAATAAAAATGCAGCAGCTTGTTGCATTTCATGTAATTAGCCAAAGATTCATCAGCTTCTGTCATCTGCATGTTCAAGCCTGCTCTAAAGAATAATATTTAAGGCACATGAGATATGTTCTGTGCTTTTCACCTCTCCTCACTGAGGGAGGGAGACTAAATGTTTTTCACACTAGTTTTCATTTTTCTTTCCTTAGATTTGCTGCTCTCAAATTCCCTTCTCTTACTCTTCTCTGGGTTAGCTGATAAAAACTCATTGACAAGGAAACAGGCTTTCACATTTTGCTCTGAAGGCGTGTTGGCTCAGCAACCTGTCTTACACCCCCAGGACTGACAACCTTGAATTTAACAGGTTCATAGTCCCTAAAATTTTGGTTGCCCAGGGAAACCATCATCAAACTAAACTGACACCATGCCAAAAGCCTGATCACTAGTGCCTCTTTATTACATAGGTTCAAACCTTATTATCTGTTGTTCAGTAAGGAAATATCAGCAAGCAGCAGAGCACGGAGAGTGTACACACAATCCCTGCCTTTTGAACTGTGCATGGCTTCCACAGGATCATGCTCAGTTCTAGGCGGAGCTGAACACAGGAGCCATTAGCACAGCCTTGACACAAAAGGCTGCAATCTCTCACCAGACCCAGGTGGAGGTGGGTGCACTTATGTACTGCAATTAAAGCTATTTTGTTTTTATGATTAGACTTCAGTGGCAGAAGGCACCTCAGAATGAAAAAAGGTGACCGATCACTGTGAGCACTGTGATCACAGATCCAAGTGGTTTCTGGAAAAAGAAAAAAACATTGTAGAAAGTGGAGCCAAATCCCACTCACTGAAGTCACGATATCAAGTGGTTCTTCTCCTAGTTTCCTCAACATGGTGAGAACTGGAAGATTAAGGCTTTGGAGATGGCAGGTAAGTTACCTAAAGGAACACCACATCATGCAATCAGCCTGAGTGAGGAGGACTGATTTCACCCTGTGCAGACATGAATTGTATTGGACAACTGAGTTCAGACACACCAAATGGGAACGTACTTTTAAAACAGACATCTTCTCATTCAGCTACAATGCTTTCTGCTCTCTCCTGTGAGCAGAAAACGGCAACAGGAACTCATTTTTTTTCACACATCTGAAAGTGGGAGAGGAGACAGCAGATCAAGACTTTCCTTGTCCCTGTGCTGTCCAGGAGCTTCTTGGAAAACTGCCCTGTCCACTCAGAGGTTACATATTTATTAGACATTGCATAACACAGAGTCATTACACATGCATGCCTTACTCTGAGACGTACTGAGCAGCTGCAAGTCTTTCTGTAGGTCACAAACTCTACTCTGAGCGGTGGATGTCCAGCATCTGTCAGGCTCAAGCTCCTACTCACGTAAGAATATCTCATTTATAAAGCACAGGGATTTTGTTTTTCAGCTTGAAAGCATACAGAGCTCCATATTTCCTAACCTCCAGATGGCACTCCACATCCAGTAATTCACCAAAAGGACACTAAGGCAGTATGACACAATTCCTTTTTCATTTCAAGGGACATAACTCCAGATTCTTGACTCTGTTTACTGCGCCTGAATCCAGAGAATTCTTCTCCCAAAGAGTTCCTGCAAACTGGAGGGTAAGAGGATGGTTTAAGCACTGCACAATTTAATCCTCCCACTTCACTTAGAACTGGCATTGTTTCAGCTGAAGCACTTCTAGTTTTCGACAAGACTTTCCACATACTACCCTAAAGATGTGGGCCACTAAGCAGAGTCTAGAGAAGCAGTGATGGGAACTGGAGTATGGGAACACATGTCATATAAGGAAAGATTAAAACGACTCTTAAAAGTTTAACCTGAAGGAGAAAAACTGTCTTGGGAATAGGGTAGCAGTCTTTTGGTACATATATGACTCGTGAATGAGAAAAGGAATCATTTTGCACTTTATGTGAGTGGAAGGCACCAGGAAAAATAACAAGCTTAAATTATAGTGAGGAAGAATCATGTTAACTTTTTGGAAAGCTAGTAGCAAGGATAATATAGTACTGGAATGGATTCCCCCACACCCATCAAGAGGGACATATTTAGTAGGGTTTATCTTTTACTGTATAAATTGAATCACTTTCTAAAGAGCTTTTCACCAATTCTCTGTCTATCCCAGAGCTGCTAGGATCTGAATATACTTTGCAAACATGATTTTTAAAATACATTCACAAAGAATTTTTTAAAAATCTATTTTAATTATACCAGGTTTAAATAGATTTCACATCTAAAATACAGCTTAATCACATTTTTTTTTATTTAAATATATTTCTAATCCTCCTAACAACTCATAGAAGATGCTTTTCACGAAGTCTAGTTGTGTCTCTTTTAATCACATACATCTGAGAGGCTTGTTTAGTGCTCTCCTGACAACCCCATAGGGACACTTCTCAAGTTCCCTGTTGAAATCAATAGCATCTCTTAAGCACTTTGACAACTTAATGATTAAGGGGAAAATGTCTGGAGAACCAAAGTTGCCCACATGGAGTAGATCAGATAGCCTGTGTGATATGGGAAAATTGTGTTGAACTGGACACCTTATTTTGTTCAATTATTACACTTTCCCTGGAAATGTAAATTATTTTATGCTACTGCAATTAGCTCTCCTCTGATACTCAGCATTACATTTCCAAAGTTAGTTTGTGTCTCTCTACCATGCACAGCAACCTCCAGAAAAGACCTTTTGAGAATATCCATGGTCCTTATCAAAATTGCCTCAGCACCTGCAAGTAGAAGGCAGCAAACAGATATTCTCTAGACACCAATTTCATCCCAAGTTTAACAGTAATTTTTCTTTTATGATAATTAGCCTTGCCAACTAATCCTTATTTACATAAGCAGAGAGTCTTAGAGAGATTGGATGAGATTATAACAGTAGTGAAATCTATAAGTAACCAGTGGAAATTCCATTTATTAAAGAGATCGTGTAGATACTAAACTGTGTGGTAAGTTACTTGTAAAGCATTCTTATGATGTATCACTTGTGCTTCAGTTTTATAAGCATTTTCCCCTTTTGTTGCCAGATCTCAAACAAGGGATTATCCATGTTTAGACAATTCATTTTCTGTACTTCTTTCAGTTAAACAGCACAAGTGGGTAGCTATATTGCTTTCATTCTTTCCTTAAATATACACTGCTTTCTCTGTTATATTTTTGAGGATTGTTAATGTTAATTGTACCTTGGTGCACGGGTGTTTCCAGTGCCTCCAGATTTTGTGTTTTCTATTTTTTTAGTTTCATTCAAAATAAAAAATGTAAAACATATTTTAACAAAACATAGGTAAGTTTATACAAATCTGTATTTTTCATGCTTTTAGGATAGTCTTTGTATATAGTTCCCAGGTGGCATCTTAACTATAAAGTTTTGCTTTATAAGATTAGTGATAACTGTAAATCCAGTTGTGTTTCTTAGAAACTGTATTTAAAACCGTTTCTTGATCTTTAGATTTCTCTAAAGTAAACAACATAACTAAATGGATTTTCCTACAAAGAAGGTCTCATCATGCTGTGAAAATTATTGTATAAACAGTACGATTCCTAGAACTGGGAAGGATGAGGATGATTATGTATGAACATTAGATGGATAATATTGCCAGTCCAGGTATCATATGTTTGTATGTATTATGTACATACATATTCACATTGTTTACTTTCTATAAAGAACACACTATAGAATGCAATTGCTCAACTGAAAATCATCTTAAAGCAGACAAGACTTTTCTGAAGTGGGATATTTTTTGGTTTGTTGGTTTTAGAAATCTCTGTCAGGGTCCCAAGCTGCATTTCCTAGATCCTGCCCAGGGAGAAATCAGTAAACCTTACCTAATGCAGGATGTCTCTCTTAAAAACTCTAATTGCTACTCTGAATTCACGTCAGTTATGTTTTCCCTCTTCAGAAAACTTCATGTTTACATTGATAAATTCCTTAAAACACGGATGGGTCTCCAAGTAACCCAGAAGTTCTGTCCAAGGCTGAAAAGGCGCTCGCACAGCCATGCCCACAGCCCTCTTCTGTCACAGGGCATAGATGCCACAGACTGACGTCAGCCTGTGACCTTCTCTAAGACTCTCTGAGAGGCTGTATGTATCTATGTATCCACAAGACTGCCAGGACTTAGAAATGGAATCTCCAAGTACCTGAGGTTACAGCCTCACCTCAGCATAAGACATTTATGCCAGGCTGATGGAGCAAAACCACACCACATTTCTCTTGACTGCCTATTAACCCAGGAGATGGGCAGAGGAGAGTCTCAGTTGGCATATACTGATTGAAAAATTGCACTAAAAAGCAATCTGAGAATATACTGGCACAGTAACTATTAAAATGATGAGATTTGGTTTTACTCCATGACCTGATCACTTCAAACTGTGTGTTCACTTTGCCCATTTACTAATGACCAATTATCATCACTGGATATATTTTATATGATCTGTGACTTAACAAATTTATTCATTATACTCTTTATGTCAACTACAGGTACTGCTGAGAAAGAGAAACAAAACAAACCAACTACGAACTGTAGAATCATCTGCAATTATCACAAGACTTCTTAGCAGTTACACCATTATGTCTCTTAAAAGCCAAATGGACTGAAACTAGTACTACTGCTATTGAAACTAGTACTGTGTTACCACAGGGATACATTAAAAACCCTAAAAAAGCCACCGAGTGAAATCAGCACCTGGGGATGTTTCAGACCTGGTGAGATGATGATCTTCATTGCTGGAATAAGCATGATTATACTGTAGCTGCTCCTCAGTGCTGGCATATCCATTAGAACACTCTGGGAGAATCTTAAGACCTTTAGCAAGAATGCAGGAGCCATCACAAACCAGGACCTTACCAAGGGCTGCCATCAGGTACCCACACTTTCAACTCTTACTGGAGCCTCTTCTTCGAATAAGTCTGATGTAAGCACAGATCCAGAACAACACCAGTACCAGATCCAAAAGGTACAGCTCAACCTCCTCTCTGGGCTACAAGCTCAATGCATTTTTTTCTGGAAGGGACACTAGTTAATATATTTTCCTTCTCTTTTGCTCCTCCCAGATCCTTGGCTTTGTTAGGTTTCTGGGTTAGACTTCTAAATCTGTGTTTGGTGTTCTAGGGTCTTTCAGTACTACTTTTTAGCTAGCTGTATTATTTTACATAATATGCCATTACACAGAATGGCCTTCAGGCCTTTTGTTAACTGAAAAAATACATTTCAGAGAGCAGGCATTTAGTCAATAGGGTTTGGGGTTTTTTTTGCTTACAGTACTTTCATTCAATTTGTTATGCTTCTGTTCAGACTAACACCAAGGAAACATTATATAAATAAGGCCATGTTTTCAGTTTGCCACAAATATATATGACATACTGCATGCAAACCCAACAAACTGCATGCAATCTCCAGTGTTTCTTTTATATATCATACACACTTGTATTATGTAACCTCAAACATGAAGCAAACAGGGACCCGTTTGGCTTCTTTAGTAAGAGGAGGATCTTCAAATCAGAGTTGAAGCAGTGTCATTCTGCCACCGAGGAGTCTCAGCACAGAGACAACCTCTTTCTTCATGGTGAGCTCTTGTGACAACCCTGCATCAGTATACTACTGAACAGTAAAGCTCTCAGTCCTTGGGCACTACAAGGGTGCACCAAATACAACCAAATATGAAGAGTATCTAGAATCACAGTCATCCTTTTTTATTTTTTTTAAGTCTTGATCATTTTTAGCTTGTTTTTATCTTGATGCCTCTAGTGGCAGAATGGGGCCTCAAACATGCAGCTTGAGTAAGGACTGAAGTACATGAAATCACAGCCATGTTGGCTGGAAGGGACCTCTGGAGGCCTGGAAGCCAATTCCCTGCTCAAAGCAAGGCCAATGGTGATGTTACACCAGGTTGCTCAGGACTTCGTGCTGCTCAGTTGTGAAAATCTCCAGAGATGGAGATTCCTGAGCCTCTCTGGGCCCTGGTTACAATGCTCAATGTTCAAGTTCACCTCCTCATGTTTGGGTAGTTCATACCTGTTTCCATCTTCCCAATCCTCCATTCTGGCGTTTGAGTTCAGATAAGTACTGCTGGATCAGCCAAACTGTTCCTCTGCCATGTCTGCTTGATTTCTAACTCACTGGACAAGACACTTTTTGTGCAATGAGCACGTTCTCTTGGAGTATCAACACACTTTCCTAGTCTCTGCTGTCCTCAAGGCATTTTCCTAAGACTTCCTGACATACCAGTTTCCTGAACAAGACAAATTCTGTTCTTCTGAAGCTCATAATCTTTCTTCGTCATCTTCCTTTCTTCTCTTGGGGTCTTAATTCCAATTCCTGGGGTCACTAAGGCCAAGGCTGCCCTTGACCTATACATTACCTGCTAGTTCCTTCTCTGTTTCTCAGTAACAAATCCAGAATCTGTGTCAAAACAAAATGTTCTTGATGTCCCACAAAAATTGGTTGTACTGCTTTTACCCTACCTGGTGCTCCTCCAGATATTAGAGCAGTTCCATATTCCAAAGCAGCCTGTGCCTACATTTGTCAACTTCCTTCTAGTTATTTAAGGTTTCATCTACTTCTTCTCCCTGATCAGGCAATTCATAGCAGGTGCTTCTGCAATGTTTCCCATCTGGTCTCCCCACCAATTCTGACCCCTCAGCTTTCAGCAGGCTCAGTTCTTATTCCAAGAGAAGGAAAGATCCAGACAATGAGAAACTCTTTTGTGTAGAACACAACTTCCACTTATTTCCCTGTCTACTTTTCCAAAAAAACTTGAATCCTTCCATCACAACACTTGTCGTGCGCTGTGCCACATTGTCCCCCTGATCCCAAAGAGGTCACAGCCCTATGACTGTGCTGGTATGTCCAATTCCTCTAGTTTCTTTCCCAGGCTGTGTGTGTTGATGCACTGTGTTCACACTCCCTTCTCAGGGCAAATGAGTGAGTCTCCTGTTGTCCCTGGCCAACTCTGTCCATCCCAGCCTTCCTCCACACATCTCCTGGGGGTTGTCTTCAGCCCCACAGGTTCCCTCAGTTGTGGAATTCCCTTTATTTTAACCTAGAGCTTAAAACACCAATTATCTACAAAATTAACTATTCCCTGTTAGCATGGTAGGCTGTGGAAATAACCAGCAAGAGAGTGCTCTCTGCATTCCTTTCAAACCCACAAATATTAAGGCATTATTTTGTTCAAAGACTCAACTATAATAAGCCAACATCATTATTGAAAAAAAAAATCTGGTTTGGCTTTTTGTCCTTGGTTACTACAGGAAGATTATTTTCCTCCTCTGTTTTATTTTCAGTGGTACTCAATATATGCATTCCCGTTTGAGGTGCAGCAGTGCTAAACCACAGCCCATCTGCTGTGGAACAGGCAATCTGCACTGGGGACTCAAATGCTATAGTTTTATTCACTGACCTGCAATTTCAAGTGCTTCTGCATTCTGCTGCAGCTGCTAAAATTTGATGCAGAACTAAATAACTTAAACACATAGGAAGAATTTTGTATATTCTTCATAGATTTAAATTTTTTTGCCGTAACCTTGAACAGGGCTGTCCAGCACTGCAACGTCTGTTCCTTCCCTAAGCTGCTACTTACGTGGCCAGTGAACAGATGCAGAGCAGGATCATTACACAGACAGGGCAGGGGAAGGACGGTAAATCATTTTGCTTAACTGACTGCTTGCAATGCAAAGCAGGATGTATTTTTTTAAAAGGTGAAATGCTGAAGCTACATTCCTAATGTTCTATTAAATTTAAAAACAGTTGAATAAATTAAGCTCATGGATCCGCTTAAGAGTTTGAAGTCAGTTCAGCTTCTTGATTACTCAAGTAAGACACAAGACTGTACATTTTTTATAATTTTACAGCACTTTTTGGATCAGCATCCACACAGTAGTGCAAATACACTTCTACCTTAAATATTTTTCTATTATTCTCAGATCATCTGAAATGACAGGAACATCTGCACCTCAGACCCAATTTTAAATGAGATGTCTTCATCTTGTATGATGCATTTCTCAACTCTGTTTCAAGTACATAATACTCCCACAAGTCTGAGGATTTAGTTTATCAAGACAGGTATTATTTTAAGGTAAATTCGTAGTAGTCCTGGCATTATAGAGGCATGAAAGAGCCAAGATTCTGGACATGTATGATCAGTACAAATGTAATGCCTTGGATAGCCACTCTTATGTAGTTCTGACAAGTTGGTAAGTATGAAAGCTCTAAAACCCGTGCTTTACTATTTTTGTGTATAACTGTGTACAGTGGGTGGGTGTATGTTCCGGGGAAGCTGTTCCATCTCTGGTACTCTGGCAAGTTCTGCTTTCAGGTACTTTTAACTTTGCTTAACTTTTTTCCCTGTAAAAATGAAACTGCTGCTCTCAGAACTATGCCATCCCTGCTGCGGGAATTAGATCCAGACAGCATGACCTGAAATACACGGCCGCTGGAACACTTGAGACTCCGGCTTGGGGGAGAAAACTGAGGTCACGCCTGCAGCTGCAACCCCGGGGCTGAGCCTGCTCCCGGGCGAACACGGCCCATGGCCAACACAGCATCACAAGATCACTGCTCTGGGGATTTTGTTTAAGGTAACAAAGACCAGGACCAACAATCTGGAGTGGAACGTGTCTCGGCCCGGACACCGACAGAGTTCGACGTGAGGAGGCTTCAACCAGCGGCCTGAGAGCTCCTCCCGGGCAGCGTTTGGCACGGCTGGGACGGGGCTGAGCGGATCCCTTGCCCCTCCCGGGGGCACCGGGGACGCCGCCGGCTCCGGCTCTGCCTTCCCCGCGCCCCGGGCGCCATTAGCGCTCCGTGACGGCCGCCCCGGCGCGGGCGTGACAGTCCCGGGCAGGCTCCCCGCCACACCCCGGCACAGGCTGCCCGTCCCGGGCGGACTCCCCGCCACACCCCGGCACAGGCTGCCCGTCCCGGGCGGACTCCCCGCCACACCCCGGCACAGGCTGCCCGTCCCGGGCAGGCTCCCCGCCACACCCCGGCACAGGCTGCCCGTCCCGGACGGACTCCCCGCTACATCCCGCCCGTCACTGGCGGGTTCCCCGTGCCCGGGATGGCGCTGACGCTGCTGGACGTGGCGCACTGGAGCACATGGGCGGTGTGTGCCGTGATGAAGCTGCCGCAGCTGGTGGCAGTGCTGCAGGCCGGCTCGGCGCGGGGGATCAGCGTGGGCAGCCTCCTCCTGGAGCTGGCCGGGTAAGGCGGCGCGGCCACACGGGGACAGCGCGGCGAGTCCCCCCGCTGTGGGCAGAGGGTGCGGGGGGCGCGGCGGGAGGAGGCGGTGGGGCCGCGGCTCCCCTCGGCCGGGTCCGAGGCGCAGGCATGAATACTTTCGGGCGCGGCTCGGGCCAGGCGTGAGGGAGCGTTGAGGGGTGGCCCGAGGGGCAGCGGGCACACCCCGCCCTCTCGGTGTTCCATCGCTCCCTTCGGAGCTCAGGGCCAGCCCTCTCTAGGGGAGCCCACAGAGACTTTGGAGAAGGAACTTCCTGTTTTTAAAGTGATTCCGCGCTGCCCTTAAAGGGAAACGGCTCTTTAAAGTTGCCCTAAAGCACGCGTGTCGCTGGAGATGAGTGAGAGCTGCTGAGGGTGCAAGCCGTGTGTTTGGGTTATTCAGTGGCCCGTGGGCCCTGTCGTGCAGGTTGTACTCGTCAGACAGGTTCCCCTCACCCAAATCAGTAAAACATAATCATTCTTTAAGAAAATTATAAGCCGTGTCAAACTCCAAAGACTTGTCAGCCTGTAATAAGCTTACATGGGCTAGGCTTATTAAATCTTGCCTAAAGAGGATTGTATGGAATGAAAAATAAATAAACTCCGTGCATGCACATTCAGATGTGGGCACAAAGTGAGAGAAAATACCTTGAAGAGCCTCATGTTGGCCGAACCTATGGATGCAGGTGGGCAGAATATCCAGCCGGATGGCTGCTAGCTCCCTGCACCAAGCTAAAACATGGCTTTTTATTCAGAAAAATCCCCTCACAAAACCAGCATGATGTTTCTGAACTTGCCCATGACATGTCTTCAGGCAGGGGCACAGCTGCTGATCCCGGTCTGGCATTCAGGTGTACAGACATCTCTGAGTTAAGTAAATTCTAGTTCCAGCAGAGATTAGTGACCCCGCAGCTCCAGCCAAAAAGCAGTTGCAGCATTTTAAAATAATTCCTGTGTATTAAAAAAGCTTTGCAAGTAATGTTTTAGATGAGCATGAAGAAAGCATACATGTTTACTGAGCACCTGTGTGATAACCACAGTACCCACACTGCTGCAGGTTCTGGTCTTCTTTGAAACATTTATTGGGACTGTTTGTTTATTTAGTAGAGTGTTTATCCTGCAGTTTTTAAACACTTTGAGTCCAATTGCAAGGAGCTTTGTGACTACTGGTACAAGCTGGGATGGTTCTCCGGAGTCAGCATGCAATGACAAGGCAGAGGAGTGATAGATAAGCATGGTGCTGATGGCGAGGAGTCTAATTTGACTTTATAACAAGGAAGTTCAGATCTTTAAATTCTGAATACTGTAAGAAACAGTTTCTTACAAGGCAGGCTGTTCCTGGTGCCATTTTTATACCCTGGAAGCCATGAATTTTTCCTTACATAAAATTGCCCTCAGAGTCCTTTCTGTGCAACTGTGAATTTTCTGTCTAACCCCATGGGCTTGCAGGAGAGTGGAAAGTAGAGAAAACATTATAAAAATCCAGTTCTTTTCAGATACTCTGTGGTGGATTGGCAGGAAGGAGAATTGCCATTGTCTGGTGAACTTAGGAACAGACTCTAAGTCTGACTAGTAGAGCTACTCTGGGCAATCTCTTCACAGTATAGTCTAGACAGCTTGGAAGACGTTTTCTACTCCTGTAAAATTTGCTTAATGTATAGATTGAACTATAGTCATAAATAAATCTGAATTATCCCAGACGTGCCAAGGTTCTTGCAAAGGGAAGGTATTTCCTAGATCTGGAAGCCTTTTTTTCTTTCTCACCAGTTGTAATTAATAAAATTATGCGTTACACACTCTGCCATAAAGACCTCGATGAGAAGTGTGTGCAGCTCTCTACATCTTATTCTATTTAAGGGTTACAGAAATAGACTACAGAATGATCAGGCTTGCACTTTGTGCCCATATTTGTTTGATCACTTTGACAGCAGGGGCTGTCTGGTGCCTTTTGGCACCAAAACAGTAAAAAGTTGTGAAGGCGCTGTCGTGTCCCTTTGTGCAGTCACCTTGTTTTGTATCTCTCTGTTCAGCTTCATTGTGTTTCTGAGGTACCAGATCTACTATGGTTACCCTCTGCAGACATACCTGGAATATCCCATCATCATTGCACAAGGTAATTTTTTTAAGCCATATTTTGGAAATGAGACAGGGCTCATTCAGCACTCCCAGGCTCTGCATGTAGGTACAGTACTTCACTGCAGTGATGCTGGAGTTGGGGGGAGGAGGGAGTGAACATCTAAAATAAAATTGAATTCTTATAAATTTCATTAAAATAGATGGTCAGGTAGAGGAGGAAGACCTGATTATTACACAGAGTTGCAGTGTAAGTGCTTCCTTTATCCAGTACCTCCATGTGGGAGAAAAACATTTAAACACCCCAGACTTGAAGACAGCCTTCATTTTGGAGATTGCAGTCTTTTGGTCATCAAGCACATTTGAGAGACAGAGCCTGTAAGAAAGGAGTTTCCATGGACATGGTGCCCAGTGGAACTGTCTAGGATTGCATTTGGGTCCCGCCGGTCCCTTCTGTGATGAGCCCTCTTTTGTTTATTTCAGATGTCATTCTCCTTCTGTGCATTCTGCATTTCTATGGAAAAATGAAACGAGCTTTGTTCTTTGCAGTTGTGTATCCTTTGATATCTGGGAGTTTTCGTTAATGTGAGTTGTTTGGTAGTTCTTTGCATAGCAGCTATGTCATCATTTGTTTTGTGCTACTGTTGCAAATCATTTTCAGTCACTCCTCAATGTGCATTCCACATTCACATGCTGATTTCTGGAATCACAGTAAATCTCCACAGGAGGTAAGCTTCATATGTAGCTTTGCTTTAGAAGACTCCTAACTGATAAAGAGTAAATCCAACTCTTAATTTACATCTTTGCTAGGGATGAAGAGTAGAAATGACAAATCTTTTTTCTTTGATTCCTACCCATGCACATTATACTTCATTATACTTGCTGTGATGAAGACAGCAGTGTTTGTTTTTCTTAAAGAGGACTTTGGTTTAAATCTCAAATCTTGTGCTTTGGAGCAGGTTTTGAGAAACTACAGGCACTGCTGGACTGAAGACAGTGTGAAAAATAGGAACACTTAATGTTTCAACCAGTGCTTAATATGTTTTATCTGGATTGCATAGTCTGTTACAAAGTTTCAATAAGATTGTTTCCAGATGTTTAAAAAAAATCTAATTCCTCTGGCAGTTTTGAGAATTTTGTATCCTAGAATTTTCGGTGCTATGAAACTTAATTTAATATAAGATTTTGGGGGAGCTGGTACATGTTAACACTGCAGAAGTGGATAATAGACCTGGCTATGGTAAGTGCTGCATGATTATTTGAAAGTAGGTCTCCATATGAAACGGCTTTTTTTCTGGAAGTCTTTATCAGTGGAATCTCTCCTTATATTTGTCATTGGAATAAGGACAACTTTAGCTTTCAAAACAACCAACCAGTTTTACCACTGGTTCTCTCTTCTCTGAGTAGCTGGAAAACAGCAGTGGCAATAAGAGACTCTGTGGTGGAAAAAAAAAAGTATGTTCTGAGGTAAAATTGCTAATTGATGGTGCTTTAATTAAAATTAGCAGATGCTTCAGATGTTGAAATTCTATTGCCACTTAGTCCTAAGGTCATAATCCCAACCAATAAACCTTTAACACAAGAGGAAGAGAATGGACCGTCAGTCAAAGCATTTGGAACAGGGCATGTGACATAATTTTTCCCCCTTTAGTCCTACAATTTTGCAAGAAAAATACCATCTGATTATGCCTACATAGGTTAAAGATGGTCTTTTCTCTTTTCACCAGAAGAAAGAAGGTAAAAATGTAATTGAGATGAACTGGAGTTGTTAATGCAAAAGATGATACAAATGGGGATAAAAACTTCTAAGCCCAAGTCCAGTCCTTACTTGCAAGGGAAATATGGGAATGGCACAAAGGTCTGTATGGAGGTGCTTTCTACCTGCTGCCTTTGCAAAATCCTCTTTAAAAGAGTGACAGAGTGAATAGTGCATTCCTGTTATTATTTTTTCCCTCCAATTGAACTAATTTTCCACACATTCTTGTCAGTTTTCTCATTCCTTTATGGTTTGTTTGCCCGACATGGTGGTAACAGATGGTCTGAATCAACCTTGCTGTTTAGACTAGATCAGTCCCATTTTAGCTAACTTTCATAAACAGTTTTATGGAGCAGTTTGAGAAGCTTTTTTTGCTTCTTTGGTTTTTATTGCATTTACCTCTATCAAGCATTCACCAGCAACAGTAACAATTGTCATGCTCTTTGAGCCTCTTGCTGGGCAGGACCTCAGAAATCAGTCCCTTGTTTCTGGCAACTTCCAGTTTTTGCTTCACTGTTCCTTAGAGAGAACCAAAGCACTAGAGTTGCCAAATACTGGCATTTATTCTAAGTGAGAAAGCTAGTCCTGTTCAGATAATACAGTAGCAGAGGTTCTTTCTCTGTTACTTGCTTTTCAGAACCTGTGCACGTTCATCAGCGCAGCCAGTAAGCTGGTTCAGCTGTGGTCTCTCTGGCAGACCAGAGATTCCGGAGAAGTGAGCGCCTTGACCTGGAGTTTGTCTGCGTACACCTGTGCAAGTAAGCCATGGGCAACTTGGTGTGAAGTACTGAGTTCTCCTAATGCCTCTTTCCATAGGTATTTACTCAGCCATGATAGGTAAAGATCTTGCCTGAATTTCCCATAGCGCTGACTCCTGAGACTCCTGAAATCTCTTGAAACCAAGTTTTATCTTTGACACCAGTGATAAAAACCGGTGACTCAAAACCCACGTGAATATGGCCAAGGGAACCTGAGTTGAAATAACTGAAAGACTGTCTTAATGAAGAAAAGATTTCTATGTTCTAGGATTTAATAAAATTACTAGTGATCCAGCATGAGAAGGTGCTAACATTTGAGTCAGACAATCAGGCAATGCTAATTTTGAAGTTATCTACAAATAAGTACACACTTACTGATAAATACCGTTAACTCTGTGGCTCCATGTAATTGCATTTCTTGACAGAGAATTTAAGAACAGTGATTTGTGGAGCTCTTGTGATAATTCCCCAGTGGTCTGCATGGACAGTTCTACAGCTATTTGTCTGAAATGCCAGTGCCTTTCTCATCTTCACAAAACTTGTTTAAAATATTCTCACTATAAAACACCGTGATGCTGGATCTATTTCCACATGAAAGTGGATAATTAGAAATTTTGGTATGTTTGCTGAACAATGTAAATTATTTTAGTCTGATGCAAATGTGAACTAATTAACGTTTAGGTCCATTGTAGGAAGGAAAAACGATTTCCTTGTATTTGCAGAAGACTGAAAGCAAACACTTGGACATTCACAATGGTTAAGTTGTGCTGACTTGATTGTGGGTGTAAATTACTGTCAACTACTAAAGGAAGGGCTGAACAGAAAGAAAAGCAGTATCCTCTGGCTACATCCAATCTGTATCTATGTGATAGATACAGATTTAGAAATTCCAATTATATCTGTGATTTTCTCATTGAAAAAGACCCTTAATACATTGTCACTCACCTTTGAGAGCATGATCTCTGAAGCTAAAATAGTGAAGAGTTGGATGTACTAGAACTGGGAATGTCTGTACAGTGTATATTTTCATGCAAGACTACCCTCTGTTGAAAAATACATATTTCATAATTTTTTAAAATTATAAACGTGTTGTATATGTTCCACTAATCAGAATTCATTCAATTTACAGCAAGAATATTTACAACTGTAGTGACTACAAGTGATCTCGCAGGTGAGTAAAGTTTGGAACTGCCTGCCTTTCCAAGGGAAGAGCTGCCACAGTAGTTTTTAGATCTTCTGTAAAACATCTAAAAGCTCTCAGACGAACAAACCATGAACGTGATGGGTTAGCATGGTAAGGGATGGAGTTGCCAAAAAAAGTAGCAGAAGATTACAAATCACAAAAATACATCAAGAAGAAAAAAAAAACCACAAAAAACTGCTCACACTTACCACATGGTACAACCAATCCAAAAGATATTATTTTTTTCAGAAGGCAAAAACACAATAAAATTAATTCTGAAAATAGCAGAGTAAAGCATTAAAAATCTTTATTATTTTAATACAAAAAATAAACGTAGTAAAATAAAACTTTAAAACTCTGTAGTAGTTGAATGAGCTTTCCAAATAATAAGTGCTTCCTTTTCATATTGAGGACTTTCTAAATTAAAATATTCTAGAAAACTAAAGTTCAGCTTCATATATGAATAGCTTTAGGCACAACATTCAGAAAGTTTATGGCAGGCTGAAAATGAAATGGTAGGCTGATAAGAAACTCACAAAAATTGACTTAAAATATATAATTTGCAGATGATTTAATTCTGAAGTAAATTTATTCAACAGCTTCTTACCATCCTGAGAAAACTGGAAGAGCTAGGGAGTGCACCAGATTTTTCAGTAAATGGTTCAAAATCAAGACTTGGTGGATGGAAGAACAGTAGCAAAATCCCTTTGTGCTTCATCTGGTGGTACCTCATTCTTGTTCAAAACCACTCTTTCATCAGAAGCACCATTTGCATGGATTTCATCCTTTTCATGCAGCACAGGAAGGCCGCAGCTTTACAACCATTTCAAGCGGCTCTTTCACTGGAAAAGGAAGGCCCATTTCAATCCCCCATTTCCACCCCCATGCTTGCTGCTTTCTTTTTGCCAGAGTAAGGAGTTCATGGGGCCATGATGTTAACTGGGTCATCAGAAATTTGGCAGAATGCACGTGCATAAATTTAGTCAGGGTCAGGTATGGAGCCCACCTTGTCTGCAGCTACACACACACAGAGAAGTGAGAGAAGTTCACTGCAGGGAGGGAGGAAACACCAGGAAGGTAAAGCTGGCTCTGGGTAAAGTATAAAACCCAGCACCATCCACTTCAGAACAGGGAAGAGACAGCAGCAAACACTGATGCTGTGCTGCTCTAACGGGAAATGTTTCTGATTAACTTGTAACACTTGTAACTTCCACATGTACAGAACTGTCAAGTTTATCTCCTACTTCGGGAACGAAGTTCTGTGTACATTTCTGTGAATATTCAAATTACCAAATGGGCATTGGACATGCCTGTACTTCAAACTGTGGTCTCACAGGTAGAAGTACTGTGCCTATTATGGTTTGTAAAAAAGCTGAGTTAATCAAGGTACTGAAAAACTGATTTTTTTTGGTCAGTTGTCATTCATTAAAATCTGACAAACACACGTATTTCCTGTCTCCTCAAAGTCTACACTTAACAGATGGCAGTAGAGAATAATCCCTTTATTATAAACAACATGTGCAACTCTAAAGGACGTGATCTATGACTTTGAGTTTAGCTTTTGGTGTAAATAAAAATTTATATGAGGCTACTCACACTTGTAGTACTCTCCTGGCTTTGTTAGAAAATAATTAAATGTACTGCAGTGTATCATTTTCAGGTATCACTGCAAGTGATTAAGTGCTAAATACTCTTTTCTGTTGTATTTACACTCAGAATTTCTGGGTTCCTAAACATAGTAATTGAAACTAATTGGCTGAAAAGAGCTGCAGAATAGGAACCAGCCTGTCTGTGCACCAGCAAAGGTTTACAAAACAACTTGTCCTGTGAAAACAACAGCAGTTGGGTTTTTTTTTGATTAATGCTTACAGTATTTTTTTTCCCTTCTAGTTCTCATCCGTTTCATAACCATGCTCATTCTCAATATTTGGGTCACAGCCACAATCCTGCACTACAGGAAGACTAAAAAGACTGATTAAAGGATACTGATTAACACACTTATCATTACCATGAAAAAAAAAACATACAATTAAGCTTGAAGAACAGAACAAAGGTTGAGGAAGCTCCCTCTCTCTCTCAAGCCTAATATTTACCCCCTAGCATACTATTCTATGTACAGTTCTTACAGTATAGTACATTCATGCGTACTTTATATAAGAAATAATTCTGATAAGATACTTAATTTAAGCAGCATATTTTTATTGGTCATTTCAGACAAGTTTCACTAATATCACATTTTCTCTGGACTTTTTTACTACAAGGTATTTTGTAATTAGATGTTTATATAATCTTGTATCACTTCAGTACTTTCTGGTTACATATAAGCAGTTTGCTTCAGTTATACATAATCGATTTTGTACCAACATACCAACTTGTCTTTCTGCTGCAAGACTGAAAAACCACAACAGATGTTCGTCTTCTTGCAAGCAACTCAGTTCGACATTAACTATCTGTGTTTTAGGATGAAGAAAATCTGAGTCAAGGCCCAATCCAAAATAAGGTTCTAAATGTCTTTTACTAAGTCACAAATCCAGCTGGGATTGTAACACTTACATGCAACACTTAAATAGTACAATTTATACAGCTGATACAGGATACCCTTGGTCGCTTTCTTCAGTATACCCAGTTTTTCCTGGATAAGAGCAGAAACTCAACTATGAATTCTTCTTTTTCAACCTGAGCTCTCATTCACTGAACATACTGTTTTGGGAACGTCAGAGACTAGAATGTATGGGAATTAATGAAACCGACCAGCAGCTAAAAATGGTGTTCAAGCAGAAGTTCCTGAAACCAATGTCCAGAATCTCCAAACACAGTGACAGTGACCCGGCTACATGTGCACCTTGATGCACCTCAGCAGACTCATCTCCCATGGTTGGTCAGTTTTTGGTGATACTGCTCTGTGGTTCGTTAGATTTTGGCCTGTCTGTGCTAAAGTTCGCTTAAATTTTTACTTCAGAGATTCTAATCAATTTGCAGTACTTACAGTAAAACAGGGCAAAAGGGTATTCTTGAGAACTATTAATGGGATTTAGCCTTTGGGAGTAATGCCTTCTCAACATATCTTGCCTTCATTTCTCATTACATTCTCAAAAATTAAAAGATATGCCATTTCAAGAGACTTCTTACAGTATTCTGTTCATTGGCATGTAAAAACCAAGGCACCCTTGATCCTGACACTCCTGAAACTATGGGAAGACTGCATTGACTGCATTTGAGGCAGGTTTTCTTTACAACGTGCTAAACTGTGGGACTGTGGAGGAGCAGAATGTGCAAAAGCAGATGTTTCCACCATAGAACACTCAGCAATCAGACTGAGGCTCTCACCAACAGCTGCTTTGATTTTAGAGTGGGAAGGGGTGGGAAGAGGTGTGTCAGTGGACCTAGAATTCATGTATCTCACATTACTGAGGGCAAGTCAAAGATGAGCATTTTTAATGCTACAATAAAAAATATAAATCTTTCTATGTTGGTTGAGAGATTAATTGTAAACATTCTGTTATTGATTTTACTAAAGCTATGTAAAGTATCTGAAGTGGTCTAAATGGTGGCAGGTGGCAAGTGGTACATTTTCCAGGTGATATTAATAAATGCTATTCTTCAAGATTGATAATGTCATTCTTACAGTTAATTTTCATTGCATTTGATTTTTTTATACTGTTTTCATATATGGAGAGAAAATGAAATATTCATTACAGGTCATAAATGGGCAGCTTTCACCCTAATTATTTGAAGCATCAGACTGAATATTAGCCTGTAAAATGCTAAAGAGCTCCAGCATCTTAAAATGAAAAAAGAAACACATTTAATTTTTTTTTTTTAAATTAAAGCCTCTTGATAAAGAAAGATTTGTATGGAGTTCAAATCCTCTCTGTCATTGACATATTTCATACTCCTGAGTGATGCTACAGCAAAGTGAAGCTACTCCATTTTTGGTTTGAGAATCAGCAACTCAATTTGGTTTTTTTCATAATAAAATGCTGAAAATGCATTTAAGAAAGTTCTTAATAGGATACTTAACATATTTTGAGTTAGAAGCCTGTGTGTGGGAAAAAAAAAAAAAAGACTGACGAAAAGAAACAAAGCTGGGTAATTAATGAGCTAAGGTAAAGTAATTTTGTGGACTTGGAAAGCTGGACCATGAGTTCTCATTCAAGCTGCAAGAGATATGGAACAAATCAGACAGTAGCAGTTAATAGTTTTACACACTTTTTTTTTCATCCCAGAGAGTAATTTCCTTCCCTTTTGTAAGCAGACATACATTCCAGTCCCAGGCAAGCCCCAGGAAAGCACAGACCCTGTGTTTTCCAGTACATAAAGCATAATCTTCTCAGTGGCTGGATTAAAGGCAGCAGCTTTAGACAAGATACACAGGGAAGATAAATCTTGTTAAACTTGTCATTCATCAGTATCGGGGTGGACACAAATTGTTTGCTACGTAATGCAGCAGCGGGCCAAAGGCAGGCAGGGAAAGCTGCTTGGATTTATTGCAGTGGGTGTAAGCCAGTAAGCAACTTGTATTCACGGGGCTGGAAGTAATACAGCTCCATTCACAGATGCTGTACGAGTGTGGAATCACACATGTGGTGTCTAATTGCACCAGTTCACAACATGCTCACAAGGTAACACAGCCTGTCTTGTTCTGGCTGACAAAACCTGGACCCTGTCAGGGCTTTCAAAAAGTTTGTTTCCTTTCCTGTGAAAAGACAAGTTGTGAATTCCAGTACAGTCCACTGAACAACTCCAAATATCCCCAGTTGTGGATATGATGAACTGTGACTGGGCATTTGGCAACAGGTAAGCTACAAGTCCACTTTAAGTGTATGGGTTAATATTTACCAGGAGACTTACTATCCAGAGGAAGGAATGAGGACGGGACTCCAGAGACAGCAGGCTGCACGTCTGAAAGTGAGGATGTGAACAGTATAAGACACAGTTTACTTTTTCTGAACTGTCCTCAGTGAACAGGAACATCAAACACACGTTCATCCTCTGGGCCTCCCTAACACAGCGCATTCTGTGCAGAGTAAAACCACGTGGACTAAGATGTGTTTCTTTGTGCTACTCTAATCCAGCACAGGATGCCATTGCTTGGACTGCTCAGGAGTCCCCGTCCCTGCCTGACCCCCAAGCCTCTCTCACTGGCTTATGCTGTGCACGTAGTTGCTCCCTTTTCTGGCTCTGCTAATCTAATCTATTAAAGAGCAGAGAAAGACTGGGGCGGGGAGGCAGCAACACCCCCAACTGCTGCAGCTCCAAAGGTCGATTTTAGTGCAGTTTGACTCTTTGGAGGAAGTAATTCACAATTAGCTGAACAGTCCCAATCAGCTTAAAACTTGCAGAATGGCTTAATTCACATCTTTAAATGAGGTATCCTCCACTAATCAATCATTATTATTCAGGGACATATGTAAGGCAGGGGGAGGAATTAACCCCTGAGAGCCCACAGGATGAACTATTATAAATGAAAAGCTACACAGATGTGGAGATCAACTCAAATGAGGTAGTTTCCCAGCCATGTGTTTTCTATGATGATAAATAATAATTACTCCCCTCCAAATTCTCTTCAGGCTGGTTTGTTCCACTCTCTTCCGAATTCTTTGATACTTGGAATTCATATTTATGTATAAAGCAGAATGTAAAATGTTGCCTTCATCACTAACAATGCTCTGAGGATGTCTCAGTTTGGAAGGTGAGGAAGATAAAAAAAAAAAATCTTAAAATAAGATGTTACTAAGTTCTTGATTTGTACTGAATTTTAATTTGCTTGATTTTGAGCCAGAGTTCTCCAGGATACTTCAGAGTTCTTGGAGATGATGGCTGTTGAGGTCAAACAGGCATCCAGGAACCTCAAATAAACATCACCTAAGAACCTGACAGCTCATCACTCAAGATGGATCCAATTGCAAGAACTCGGCAGTCTCACAGACCTGAGTCCTGATGGACCTCAGGTGTTTCCTGCCTGATGGCAAGATAGACATACAGACATTTTCAAGTTAAAGATGTCCACTATTCCATTCTACACTGGAAGTGGTTTGGGGCAAACATCATCTCTGTCTTGAAAAATAACCCAGTCTTTGGACCAAGGGTAAAATAAGGGGATTTTTAAATTATACTTGTGATGAAATTTAATTGAGGATACCTGAGAGGCAATTTAAATACTTGTCACAATTTTATTAACACCCCGTTTTGTTTCATTATTTCAGCTTGTAACTGGTTTGAATTGTCAGCAGCCTAAACAAGTACTTCTGTATATTATGTGGTATCACTGACTCACAGAGAGGGAACTTTAAGAGGACAGACATCTTGTTTTATCTGTGAAGTATTCTGGAAACTGATGTAAAGAACAGAACCTGCACCAGCCTAAAATGTGACAAGAGAAGTTAGGTAATGATATTTCTGATTCAAACTGAATACTAACATGGCTCCATGCTGAAAATCAATTCTACTTACCACCTTACTGTAATTGCAAATCATCGGTGCATATGCCTGCTCTGGGATGTATAATTATTCTGCTTTGGAATTTGGAGGCTCTGGCCAGCGGTACTAAGATGCTGACCTGACTCATATTATATGAAAATCATAAATGGAAGAACATACATCCTTATGCCTCAGTGTCCTCTCTGTCATGCAAATCATGACTCTAATGAAGCACAAATTGAGCTTAAGTAAAGCATATTTTAAATACCCAGTTACTGCAAAGAAATTCTTTCACCTTTGAGCAACTGGTCTGATTTCAAGAGTGACTTATCTTGTGAGATTTTAAATTTTTTTCCATGATATGCACTGTTGGCACAACTTTCAGTCCTCATGGCCTCTCTGAGCTCAGGGATATTTTCCTCTCTCAGCTTTGTTGGTTTTTTTAAGCTTGCATGTTTGC